AGCTTAATCTGTTCCTCAACTCTCAATTATCCTATATGTTCTTTTATAGCGTTCGTTCCACCCTATTAATTCAGAAATTGCCTCACGTAGATAATCGACGAAACTCTCTGCTTTCTCATGCATTAGAACTGTAAAGGCGCACTACAGGATACAGCACAGAGGCACACCCACACGTGCCATTCAAGCTTCTTCAGCGCCTGTGTTGAGCTACTTTGAGTGAAGATTTTCACTCAATGTTTATATGACGTCATAGGCCCTCATCTCAGCAACGACGGCAGCTACACCTACCAGACCCAGCTATTTCTGTTCCTACGTCGCCAATATCCTCCGATCCGCTCTTTCCCCAAATCCCAAAAACGGCCCAAATTCGTGAAATTGGCGATTGTAATTTTTTTGTCCTTATCTCCCAAGCATATAGATACCTGTTGTCATATTTGTCGTGCTTGGAGTTATACTGTTTATACACCTTTACCAAGGCAAACGCTAAAATGCAATGAATACCCACTTTGTTATCTTCTTGTTTTGAACCATACTTTTAAAGACCAGCATCATTCATTTTAGTGGCTTCACTGGTCAGTTAGAGTTGCTTTTCAATTTCCTCATAATGCCCCTTGAGTTGTTTATCGTATGATTCCTTGTGTTTATAATCTTGCTTATGGTCAATATTTTTATCGTCTCCATGACAGAGAATGCTCTGGCTAGCTGAAACCGGAGCGACAGTGCCTGTAACTTAGGAAGACGTAGGTAAAAATCTATTTAAATCTATATACTTTGGTAACAAATTAGATTCTTTCATCTTATCAAAATAAGCCTTGTAACCATCAGTATAAGTATCCACTGTCTCATCCCATCCAACTGATCTCGCAGAATCCATACTTCCAACAATTGAAAAAGGAAGTGCAGCTGCGATCTCGATACTAGACCTGAAACAAAGCAGGTGAGTAGAGCGTGACAAATAAAGCAACATCAACACCAATTTGCATACTCGAATGATTTTTGGATCAAAATCATACTTCTTCACAAGTTTAGGAAAATCGTTCTTATGCCTCTCTGCCCACTCCGTAACGCTATAAACAACTTTCAAGAACTCCCTTTCCTCAATTTTGACATCTTGATCTGGCGGTGACGGAATTTCCAAACCGAATTATGCTGCAATCTATGGCCAGAGTGTGCTGAATTGATACGGTTTACCATATTGATACTAAATGCCCTATTGTGTGCATTCTCAACAGCATAAAGTTGGAACTCTGCATTATTTTTAGCCGTACTATTATCATAACCCATATCATAACAGACAAGTGGACCAGGATAGTGCAATTTTTCATCGAACTCCTTACATCCAAAAGCATATAATGCGGCAGTAACAGACACAGACATCCAATTACCTTTCGAGTATCCAGGAATTGCACATGGTCTGCTAACTGTCCAGTTCCAACCATGATCTTCTGTCACTGCTGCCAGTTTATCTTCTTGATGATAGTAGAAGTTGTGGACATGCGCTTGTCTCTTACTGTCTTCTTTGAATGGTAGTGGTGGAAATTCTTCAGCTGTAAATCCGGGCATGTAGTATTTGTACCCGGTTTGGAGATGGAATGATTTGAGATTTGGACATGCTTTGCTTACTGCTGAAATTGACTGGCGATTTCGACTTAGATGTAGTGTTCATAAGAAAATGAATAGTCGCCTTAACAAATAACTTGTTGTTTACGCTGTTCTGTTCTTGTATGTCTTGTGAATCAGCATAGAATAATACGTGTGTGGAAGTGTCAGCACCACCTTTGATCAAGTATCAGCAATTTGAGTATCAGATGAACCGTCTAAATCAATCGAGATATGAACAACGCCTTTTCTATCAATCGGTCTTCTGCTGATTCCTATTACTCTCTCATATGAAGAATCCTTAAGTAGAACATCAATCACGGCTATGCCACTAATACCAGTAGCACCAAATACTAAAGCTATTTTTGGCATAATGACAAAGGAATAAAGAAATATGGCATTCACATCTATATCTACCCATCAACACCCCTAATACGTAATGTTGTCATCATCATCAACTTATGACAAAAAATCCCGAGTGAAGAGAGCTGTAAGAGCTGGTGATTCGGTGTGGGTAAAAGACTAATTTTTTTCCAGTGTGACTCTTGTCGTCGTTCTAAAATCAAATGCGACGCAGCTGAGCGATATCCGCAACGATGTTCAAATTGCGTGGAGAGAAGGGAATGTACATTCGTAGATGGGGCATCTAAGAAGAAGCACACGTACGCATACGTCAAGAGTCTAGAAGAAATGGTGGGTTTTGAAAATTCTCACTTTTAGTGAAGATCTTTAGTATTTCTTTGTAGAAACGTATCTATGTTGCTTTTACACCTAATAACACCTCTGGCAAATTATAGACAGCGATCCAAAAGTTCCAAAACAACTTGCTCATTCTGATCTTTCATTAGGGTTATTGCCGTACATGTCGCTTTACTCGGGCGTTTTAGCACAGATATTTTTTCTTGTTCAGAGCCGTCGTGCGATTTCAAATTCAGCTGGAACATAAAACACTTCCTCATGACACCATTACTTAAAAAACTTCTATTTTCAGTTCAACTTACCGTAATTTTAAAAATATCTCACTTGTTTTCGCATATAGAAGAAACCATTATGTAAACAAGTAATACTTAATCGATACTTAAACAAGAAAAAAATAATAGTGTGCGACAGATATTTCATTGCATAAGATCATTTCATTTTAACCTTCCTAAAATCTAGCGTAAAACCTTCACCCTCCCAGAACTTCTGGTCGTTGGTATCATCGATTTCTGGTTTGATGTGTGTACGCGCTTTCTTCTTAGCTGCTTGATCGACATCGAACTTCTCGTTGCGTGACTTGAGAATCTCCTGCGGGAGCTGAAACTCATTTGTAAATGACTTCATAAGCTTTGGTGGACCCAATGGGAGGACATCACCTTTGTCGACCTGCCAAAAGTGGAACGTTTTACCGTACCAATTGACAACCCCTTCTAACGCTTTAGTTTCGGATGCCTCCCAGACTGCGTTTGGCATCCCTGCTGGGCGTGGCATAATTAGCATGCCAGATTTAACTTCACACTCGTGTGTATGCCAGTATTGCTTCTCCTCGTCAGGGAGAGTATTCCAGATCTGTCACTAGTTAGAAGTACATCATAAAGCTGAAGACTCTATGTACCTGTTTTGGTATCATATACTCAACTCCAATCAATTTCGCGTCTTTCTCAGCGGAGTCGTAGATGAGACCTAAATACTGTTTAATAACACCAAATACCCGTAACAATATACCAACACTGTCTGAAGTTTTCTTTGACGTGTGTGCAGTAATGATGGGCTTCGACAAATCTACCTGCGATCAGCCACCTACATGCTGTCTAAATCCATCATACCTGCTCTTATCATCACCATAAACATGAAATGCATTGAGATATTCGCAGATCTGTTTTGTTGGTGTGAAATCTTGAGTGTGACCTAAAAGATTGAGATTGTCATTTAACAGCAAACATAAGCAGACCCACCAGCGACAGTATCTAGTGTGCTGGAAAGCATAGTTTGTGGTTTATTAAGTTCTGTCATGATAGTTGTAGTCACTGTAATTTGGAAATTCTTATCGCGTGTGGGTAATTTATACATTACGTCACTATGTAGATCTAATCAAAAATTAAATGCATGGTCTTTTTACAATGCTATGCTTTCAAAGCTTTCTCCAGCTCTTCGATGAACGCATCACCAAACTCAGCTGTCTTGGTTTTTCCACCCAAGTCGCCAGTACGCAAGCCACGTCCACCTATCTTCTCATCATCAAGAACCTTTCTTACAGCAAGTTCAACAGCAGCAGCTTCAGCATGCAATCCAAGTGAGTAGCGAAGGAGAAGTGCTGCAGAGAGGATTGTACCAACTGGGTTAGCGATTCCTTGACCAGCGATATCAGGGGCCTATCTCTAATCAGTCTGAGTTGAAACTTCAATGAAGTACTCACACTACCGCCAATTGGCTCGTGCAAACCAAATGTCTTCTTTTCCTTGTTTGGAACAGCGCTCAAAGATGATGATGGGAGTAGACCCAAAGCACCTGGAATGACAGAGGCCTCATCTGAGAGACTAATCGAAATTTTAGCGAATGTGTAACGCCAAACAGTCGACCCACATATCACCAAAGAGATTCTCCATGAGCGCTACACCGTTAAGTCTACGTGGGTTATTGACGAGGAACATCGAAGCAGAGTCAACTGATAAAGCATAAGAGAAAGTCTACATAAGGTCAAAACGACTAACCGTAATGATGATCGAGCTCAATCTGTGGGTATTCCTTGGCATAAAGCTCCGTGACTGTCTTACGCCAGAGACGTGAAGTAGCAAGGACGTTAGCCTGACACTTATAAGCTAAATGTTACGATATCCTTTGACTAAGAACACACCTTGTCAATGCTATGGACTGGAAGTGGTGGATTATATGAGAGCGCGAGTTCGGCAGCAACTCTAGCGATTCTTTCGACCTCTGATTGTGAATATTCCATAGTGTCGAAAGCATAGCCATTGGCATCAGCTTCTTGACGCTTTCCGAAGTAGATACCACCAGTCTACAGAAATATGAATAACGCGCTATTATGACATCGACATCTACCTACCAATTCTCTTAAGATGATAACATCAGTACCCTTGGCTACTTCTTCCTTAAGTGGTGTGTATGCGAGTAAACTATCTGAAGCAAATGAAGCTGGACGGATGTTCGCGAAGAGGTTAAGCGCTTTGCGGAGAGCGAGAATACCTTGCTCTGGACGGACTGGTGAGCTTGGGCCCCACTTTGGACCACCAACTGATCCTATAATAATGTTAGACGGTCACTTATCTAGTCCTCTATCTTACCCATCAGTACAGCGTCCGAGTTTCTACAGCTTTCGAGTGTATCACTTGGAAGTGGTTCACCGGTAGCATCAATAGCGCATCCACCAAACAACTTATGGGTCAGGTTGAATTTGATGCTAGGATTGACTTCTGAGATCTTGTCGAAAACGCGAGTGGCTTGTCCGATAACTTCTGGACCTATTTAGTTGTTAGATAATGCCAGATAAGCGTTAAATTTACACACCAATTCCATCTCCTGCGAGTACTGTAATATTATGCGACATTATAATGATAGTAGTTGAACAAGATCGGTAAACGAAGCCGAGAGATATAGAGGATGGGCGACAAAACAAATTATGCATATTATATATTTAATAGCTATCCCCTAGTATTCCCGAAAGGTATCATTGTATTTAACGCAATCTTTACTCATCTGCAGTGCATCTGAATATTGAGATACGAAAACGAGGAAGAGGATTCATGAGCTAGGATATTGCACCTAAAGGCGTTGTGTAGGGACAGAAGTAGAGATATCTCCAAGTAGTTCATACGTTGGGAGGATATATTCATCTCAGGGCATGCACTAGGAGCACGCACTAGGAACATCAATCAAGATGCTAGCAAGCAAGCGGAGATAGCGCTTCAATAACATACGCATATTATATCTATACTGGCATCTCTTTATAGAAAATAGCACGAGGTTCCTAATATCTAAAATTGTGACGGCAAATCAGCGATCCTTTTTCTCCTTAACCACCAAGAACAATCTTTTAGCTCCAGCAAAAGCTACTCAATGGCAGGTAGTTATCCGTCAGATGAAGCCTCTATGGCTATCATTTACGTTACTTTGGGTGTTTTCCTTATATTAGGACTCGTTATAAGTTATTTCGTAACAAAAACAAAGGCAGATTTCTTATCAGCTACCAAAACTGCTAATTACGCTGTCATTATGTGCAACTTCGCCGCGCAAGGTCTGGGTGCTGGTTTGCAGCTAACATACCCAGAAGTTGCTACATATGGTCTACAGCCACTTATAACCTACTCATTAGCCGCTAGTTTGCCACTTTTGACATTTCCTCCACTCGCTGCTCAATTGCGGAAAAAGTGCCCTGAGGGTTTCGTCTTAACGGAGTTTATCCGAGCAAGATTTGGTGTAGTAGCAAGCTTGTTCTTGTCGCTATGCTCTATTGTCACACTCTACGTATTTATGTTATCGGAAATGACTTCTATCTACTCTGTAATTCAATCACTCACCGGTTGGAGCTCAGAAACGCAAAATGTATGGTTGATCATGCCTATTTTCACAGAAATGATGGTAACCATGCTTTATACTGCTTGGGGTGGATTTAAGACGTCACTGATAACTGACACGATTCAAGCCACGTTATTTATTCTTTTGGTTATCATCTGTACTATTGCAATTGGTGTAACTGTCGAGATTGACACCAGCATGATACAACAGAGATCTGAACTATTACGTGGCAGTCAGCTAGGTTGGCAATTACTGTACAGTAAGTATGGTATTAAGCGAAGAAAATCTTGATCTAACACATATATTAGTTTTACCGGTTGCGATTGTCTTCAACAGTGAGTATGACATTATCCTGTGGCCTATCATCTCAATAAGTATTTCAGACTATTTCTTGTCCAGTTACTGGCAACGTTGTTACGCAGCAAAAACACAAAAGGATTTGACAATCGGATGCACGCTCGCCGCTATACTCATCTTCTGCTTGACCTTCTTGGTTGGATTTTGTGAGTATTACAATTAGATTCAGAATTTCTCTAATGCTCTCTAGCTGGATTGATCGCCGCTTGGGCTGATGTCTATCCTGGGCCAGACAGTGTAAATGAGGAGAGTAGCTCAACTGTCCTTTTCTTGCTTATCAACAAATACTGCCCGCCATGGATTTCGGCGTTGATGTTGGTTTTATCAGTTGCTCTCTCTTGTGCAGCCTACGATACCCTCCAAACTGCGTTGGTAGCTACAGTATCAAACGATGTCTTTAGAAACAAGATCAACATTTGGTGGATCAGATTGATCCTGGTCGTGTGAGTTTTCCTGTCACAACGGTCTTTTTTTATTGACAGTATTAAAGGAATGCTGCTGTTATTGCACCTGTAGCAACCAACAAAGTCAATGATGTCTTGATCCTTTACCTCATAGCAGATCTGGTATCTGCTGCTGTCATGCCTGCAATGTTGCTCGGTTTCACTGATAAGCTTTACTTCTTAAATGGTTGGGATGTAACTATAGGTGGATTGGGAGGTGTGTAGAGTAAATTGTAACTTACTGTTGACTAACTCACTACTAGGTATTTTTACAGTTTTCTTGTTCGGCCTGGTCTACTACGATGGTGATGCTAAGTCAGCAGCTGCCCTTCTTATTATCAATGAGGGTCTTTATCCATCTGAAAACAGTTTTGAATGTTTAGGCACATTCATTGCAGCCCCGGTTGGCTCAATCCTCTGGACAATCGCAGCATTTGGTGTCAGAGTTTTATACACGTACATACGCTCTAGAACTACAGGCTCGCCTTTCACAGTGTTTGAAAAGACCAAGCCGCTCGATCCGTACGTTGTAGCAGGCAACGAGCAGATGCTTAGACCAAGCTTGGGTGAAAGGGAAGCTGAAAGTGCATCAAGCACTCTTAGACACAGAGGTGGTACCAGAAAGGAAAATAACTCAGATGGTAGTGATGATGACTCCAGGAAGAGCTAAGGAAGTAGCCGATAATCAAGAGAGAAGACGGGATGCCTTCTTTCTAGGATAACTTTCATTTAGTCTTTGGATTTTACGGATATTATAAATATAGAATAAAACATATAGAATAGAACCAAGTATTTGTACCTAATCTTAATAAATGCATTTCGACAAATTACATAATATCTCATAGGAAGAAGTTTTAGAAGTGGAAATAGTAAAATGAAATTACAGTGACACACTTACTTAGTAATAATTAGCTTGTTGCAATTATTTAATTTATTATTACATTCCTCTAAACATCAAATTTCGACGCGTATCACCATCGATCGCGTCTTTAGAGTCAACCACGAGGTCTAATAATAAAATATGTTAGAAGCTAGAATGTCAGAAGCAGGTACCTTGAAAAAGGTACTCGATGCTGTTAGAGATTTAATCTCAGACGCTAATTGGGAGTGTAACGAAGATGGTATTGTAAGTGTAGAAAATATATCTCAGTCTATATCTAAGAACCCCTAGTCGCTCCAAGCTATGGATAACTCACACGTAGCATTGGTCACTGTACACCTCTCACAAGATGCATTTGAACCATACAGGTGAGTTTATATATACCAGCACAGTTTTAGTCTTTGACGCGTAAAATAGATGCGACCGTAACATGCCACTTGGTATCAACCTTGGTAGCTTAACCAAAGTTATTAAATGTGCAAAGGACAATGATCTTGTCACTCTCAAGGCTGATGACTCTGGTGAAAGTCTAGGATTGACATTTGAAAGCTCAAACACTGATAGAATCGGTGAATATTCTATTAAGTTACTTGATATTGATCAGGAGCATCTTGGTATTCCAGTAACACAATATGACAGTGTCATTTCTATGCCTTCTTCTGAATTCCAGCGCATTTGCCGCGATCTATCACAATTAGGTGAATCCATCCGTATTGACGCTTCAAAAGAAGGTATTAGATTCTCAGTTGAAGGCGACGTTGGTAAAGCATCCGTTTTGCTTAAGCAATCTTCTGGTGCTAGTATTGAAAGAGAAGAAGAGAGTGAAGAAGAGGAAGAAGAAGAGGAAGATGAAGATGAAGATGTTAAGCCAAACGTTGATGAAGATGAGGAGGGAGACGTCAAACCAAAGGATAAGAAGAGAAAATCATCAAAGGGTGGTAACAAGACGAAGAAAGTCAAGAAAGCTAAAAAGGACGTTGTAGAGGATGGTGTTAGTATCTCACTCCAACAACAAGTCAGCCTTACCTTCTCACTTAAATACCTTAACAACTTCACAAGAGTGAGTGAGGCTATCTTTCATGAAAAACACGCTAATATCTACAAACAGTCGACACCACTCTCTAACAGAGTTACACTCTCACTATCGAAGGACATACCATTGCTCTTAGAGTATGAGTTCGCTGCTGGTCATATTAAATACTTCTTAGCACCAAAGATCGGCGATGAAGACGCTGAGTAAGATGCATTTCTATCTTTATTGTTAAATACCACGAGAAAATTAATATTATTTGTATATTCTCCTTCATTCTCGCTCTATACAAGCTTGTTATCTAACGTTCATCACTTCTTTCGATAAGAAACAAACAAATGTACAATAGACCGTCACCAGGTCAGCCGCGTCAATCAGCGCCATCGTTCAAAGCTGCCTCAGAGCCTGAGCTTATCCCAGGGAGTGAAAAGCTCACAGTATTCATTGGAAGTATCAGCGCTGGTGTATCTGATGAATGGTTGGAGAGATTATTGAATGTGAGTAGCTAATCATATATTATAACCCATAATTAATATGTATATCTATCTTAGGCTGCTGGGAATCTCGTCACTTTGAAGCGTGTCAGAGGTCCAACTGGAAAACCACAAGCATTTGGATTTGCTACGTTTGCAGAACCAGATTCTGTATTGCGCGCAATCAAAACTCTCAATGGTATATCAGTCCCCCCAGGAGAGCGTGGTCAACCACGTAAGAACCTTTTAGTTAAAGCAGACGAGAAGACGAGAGCATTTTTGGATGATTACGAGAAAACGCTGCTTAAAACAGATGATGAGGAAATGGAAGAACATAGAGCTGAAGAGCTGATAGCCAAAATATTAGATCATATGTCAGATCCAACTTTACATGCGAAAGGTCCCAATTTGACTGGCTCTGTACCAATAGCGGATGACACACCTGCTCATTTGCGTGATTTACCTCCAGAGGAAATCCCTGAAGAGCACAGACAAGAGACGCTTAATATGATCGAGATGTTTAGATCTGGTGCTATGGTCAATCCTGCAGTAAAGTCCAAACAAATACAGAGATTGGAGAGGGAACAACGTGATAGAGAACGTCTTGAGAGAGAGCAAGTAGAGAGAGAGCGTGAACGTGATCAACAAACCCATATGAGAAAATGGGGTAGTAGGAGCAGCTTTGGTGGTAATGATCCACAATCTTATAACAAACCAATGGGTTTTGTAAGGTCATCCTCTGGTCAACAACAACCAGAGCCAGAGTCTATGCCAGTCACATTCGAACAAGCAATGAATTTGGTTGAGCAAGACGAAAGAGCAGAAAACGATCGTCTTGCTAGGAGGCTAAGAGATAGGGAATTAGCATTTAGGGACCGTGAACGTAAATTTGAAGGTAAAGAAAGGGCAAGGTTGAATGAATATGATCGTGATTTGGCAAGGGAAAGAGCCAACGATAGTTCGGATACTAGTGCAAGGGAAAGTGCTTTACATAAGCTGCTTGCTGTTGACGATGACAAATTGGCAGAAAAAGGTGAACTGTTCTATGACAACAGGTGAGTTTCTGTGTAAAACATGAGGAAGCTTCTGACAGATCTCAGACGCCGATGGAGAAACGCTCGTTCTCAAGCCAGACGGAAGGAAGAAGCAGCCGATGAAGCAGACAGGATGGCAGAAATTAATGAGTCCGAAAAAGTTAAACGAGATACTGAAGCCTTCCTGCAGCAGCAAGCAATCGAAATGGAAAACTTCGCAAAGGAGCAAAAGAAGAAGGGTGTTCTCATGGATGACAGTATGCCTATTAAATTATCTGCTGCTGCTGCTCAACATCCTAAGCCAACTAGTGAACAGGTGGAGTCATCCAAACCAGTATTACATAAATCAGCATTCAATGACGAAGAAGTGGATGAAAATGGAATGCCAATGCAAAAACGTAAACTCGTTAAACTTGATTACAGTGGCATCGTACCAGATCAAGATGAGCTCACTCCAGAACAAAGGGAAGCTGCGAGAAGAGTGCGCTTGAGGGAAATCGCTAATGGAGTATCGTTAGACTATGTACAATTATCCAAGATAGACATCAACTGGGATGCCATCACTGATGTTGTTATATCCAAAAAATTGATTCCGATTGCAGAATCACTGATGAAAGAATACTTCGGTGAAGCAGATGAAGAGATGTTAGAAGTTGTAAGCGATCAACTGAAATCGCATCAGGGCATTGACGAATTTGTTGAAACACTCGAACCTGTCATGTTAGAAGATTCAAAGACAGCTGCCATAAAAATATGGCGCAGGTTGGCTTTTGAATCGATCACAGCTCTAGAGAACCTTAATACAGATAACTTTATTTTGTAGAACAATAAATGCATTTTATTGAAGAAATTCTCTTGTTTCGATACGCCGACGTCACGATGAGCGGCAGTAGAGTGCCAATTGCTAACCACATCGATCAGACACTCTTAAATAAAAACCCTAGTATCTTAGATCACGTTAATCAATCATTTGAATACGACTACGATGCTATAACACTCCCATTCACAAAATCCAGCTGGAAGGATCGTTGGCAGAGATATTGTGTTGCTAATGAGGAAGATGTAAAGAAGGGCAGGGCAAGGGCTAGCTATATAGCAGGTCAATCTGGTTCGTTTTTCTTTTCGACATTTCTAATCATTTCTTATCGGCAACACAGAAAATGTGGTACAGGATAGACAAATAGCTAAGGAAGCTGAAATCTGGAGATTGACACGCGTATATGAAAGGAAAGAAGTAAATGTTTCAAAGTTAGGTGTGTTTTGACTTGTTTAGTTGTGTATTCTCAACTGAATGTTACGCACAGACGAATGTGAATCTATTATAGCGTTCGCCTCAGATTGGCTTGAACTGGACTCCCCAGATGAAGGAATCAGATTTGATTCAGAAATCGCACTAAAGCAAGAAGTCGCATATGCATCCTATCTCAGCATACATACACTCATACTTCCACCCCCAAGAAATCGGAAGTTTATTTCTGACTATGCAAGATCAGTTATGGCAGCTTTAGATAGTTCAACTTACTTGCAAATCTCTGTTATGATACCCGTCTCAGATCCGACCGAACGCGCTTCTGAAGATAAGATTGATCCCTCATCTACCTGGGAAGTATGGGATGGCATACGCACTCTTTGTGACTATTCACCAAGACTAGGAGTAGCCTTAGATCTTACACAACCACTCCCACCACCTTCGGCAATCAAAAGGTGGGCTAGTGAACCAACAAGGCAGATTATTATACCAGCAAATGTCTTCGTTGGTAACGCGAAAGGTTACCCTGTCCTTTCGAAGCCATGTCAAGAATTTATCAAAGATCAAATCAAGGTGTGTTTCTTCTGTTGCTTGATATGGTTTTATCTCATACATCAAGCAGACTCTTCCAATGATAATACTTACGCATACATATGACAAAATACATTCTTCCGGAGGTAGCAAAGCATACGTACAGTATCTGCGGTTTATGGAGAAGTTATCCAACGATCGCGCAACCTCAGTTGAACAATTTGCTAGCGGTTATATGGATTGGCTACAGGCTCCTCTCCAGCCCCTTCTGGATAATCTGGATAGTACAACATACGAAATTTTTGAGAAGGATCCGGTAAAATATCAAAAATATGAGCAAGCTACATATCTCGCATTACTTGATAAAGAACCAAACTCATTGACTAGGCTTGCTGTTGTGGGTGCCGGACGTGGGCCGCTAGTACAAGGCGCTATCAATGCAGTAGATGCTGCAGGTGACGGTAGGAAAATACACATTATGGCAATAGAGAAGAATCCAAATGCATGCGTTACCTTGCAAAGCAGGCTTGATGAATGGAACGATAGCAAAAGTGCTACAGTTGAACTAGTCTACGGTGATATGCGTATAATCGAACTCGAAGATGAGAGGAAAAATGACATCCTAATTTCTGAGCTACTTGGTAGCTTTGGTGATAATGAGCTATCTCCCGAATGTCTTGATGGTGCCATGCGGTTACTGAAACCCTATGGAGTGTCCATACCATCCTACTATACTTCTTACATTGCACCATTATCATCTAGCAAACTCTACAATGAGGTTATGCACATGGGAGAAGCTAAAAGTGCGGAAATGCCTTACGTTGTTATGTTCCAAGCTGTTAACATACTCAGTGGGATGAATGAAGAAGCAGAGCTCAAGCCAATTCAGCAATGTTGGTCTTTCAAGCATCCATCAAAGTATGAATTTGTAATGGACAGGAATGGCAATCCAATGTCAAATTATCACAACACGAGAGCAGCTCATTTGACTTTCAGTATACCACATGCAGGTGTATTACACGGTTTAGCGGGCTATTTCGAAGCACATTTATACGGAAACGTGTGGTTGTCTACTCACCCAGAACGATATGATCAAAAAATGTTAAGTTGGTTCCCAATATATTTCCCAATTAATATGGGCGTTTACCTGCCCACTAAAAGTGAAGTGGACGTACATATATGGCGTCTCACTGATAATAAAAAAGTCTGGTTTGAATGGTCTGTCGAGGTCTTTGTCAATATCGACGGTCAGAGAGTAAAAATAAATCAAACAAAGTTGCACAACCATGATGCTAAATACAATAGGATTGAATTGTAATTAATTAATTAGATTATATAATATGTTTAGAACGTGTAGGCTGTTCAAGAAAAGATTCTCCGAAACATAGCTATCAACGTGCGTGCTCTGCCCTCTGCCCATAAATGTAATTGTAATTTCAAAAACTTTTCTTCCGTCCTCATTTCCCATTCCCCGATCGCGATTGTGTTCAAAGGTACTTTAATATAAACCATCATCTTATCGTCAGAAGTATATTTCTATATGCATATGCTACACTATGAAATACGGTAAACAATTTGAGCAATTAAATGAGGAATTCCCAGAGGGTGGGTGTAGTTCCTTAGCCACACATATCATTCACTCATAGACTCCACAGAATGGCAAGAGAAAAGCATCGAGTATAAGCACCTTAAGAAGCTTCTTACTGATGTAGTAGAGGAGTTAAATACTATCGGATTAAATAAGGCGAAATTGCTTGATCTATTACTCAGTAGATCGGAAGATACCCACATTGAGTATGTTCTTAACGGACCATTGAATCAGCCACAACCCCAACTCATCGTACAATTCAACGATGACAATAGCAAGAGAGAATGGTTGAGCTTATTCAACCTACAAAATAACTCATCGGGACTGAGTGAAGTATCTGCAAGTACCTCAAATAAAGATATGGAGAAGCAACAATCTGATGCTGTCGAGGAAATATACACAGAGGGCACAGATCCTAATAACAAAGAAATTCATATAAATCTTAATGCGGATGCTAAGTTCTTGGGTGCATTAACCGCTGCGTTCGATAAATTGGAAGCCTTACAACTGGTCGAAAAGAAGAAGTTTGCTAAGCAAGTTGAAACTCTTTGTAATGCTATTACAGGTGTTACAGGTCCTGGTGCAGTTTCACATTCAGCTTTCAGCTTACACAGGAAGAAGACCAACGATTTATATGCTTGGAGAGAGATATTCACACTTTGGGTCGAGTCTGCAATCTATGAGGGTATAACTGAATCAAATCGCGGTGAAAGAGATGTTGAAAGTGCAGAAAAACGTCTCAATGCGTTTGCTGCTGAAGTTGTCAAGAGAGGTTTGGGCGATAGTAGAACGATGAAATCGAAGCAATCTAGAGACGCTTTAGACCAATTCTTAGAACTCAATATGGCTTTATTAGACATTAAAAAGTTTTATACAGCAAATCTTGAAGCAGCGCGTAAAATTCTTAAAAAGCATATGAAAATGACGGCTCTACCAACGGACGCGTTTTATTCCTTCGCAGGTGTAGAAGGAAGCGCATTACAGACAGCCACTAGTTCACAAAATTCTAATTTTGGCTGGACATTTTACACTATTAGTTTACCAAGAGTACTTTTATCGCGGTTAACGGAAACACTGATACCAATAATTCCATCTATAGACGATTATAATTGCTTGATATGTCAAGAAATAGCTTTCAAGGTGAGTAAATTGGTGATCGTTGAATAATTGCTGACGACTTTTTGTAGCCAATACGCCTTAGGCAAGTCGTGAACTAAAAAGGTCAAATATAGTATCTAACAAAGCTTACAGCTGCTCGCACATATTCTGTGTTAGATGCCTTGTCAAAATGCAAAAGCGTGGTCAAAAAGATTGCCCACTGTGTAGGGCACCCGTCGTGTTAGCCGCGAATAGAGGTGAGTCTGAGAGAACCAAAGAGATTGTTTAAACTTAGACCGGCTATAGATAACCTAGACCAAGCTTTAGTTGGCTATATGGAACTTTGGTTCCCAAAGGAAGTCCGCAAGAAATCGAAAGCGAACGACAAAGAAGCGCAAAAAGAACATTACCAGGAGACCGGAATTGATGAAATTAGTTGTACTATTATGTGATTTTTTATAGATTTTGTTGTATCTCTCGTAATTTAATCAATCTCTTGCATTCTGACGTCGATATGGTGTGTAATAGAGATATGATCGAAATAAGCTGATAAAAATAAAATTAGATCGTTAGAATACGTTCAGCAGATGGTACATTTAGATTTGATCTAAAAGCAGATGATACTATTGAATTATTGAAAGATAATGTAAGCTGGAGCCTATAGATGGCGTTATCAGTTTATCTAATAGCTACATAGATAGTAGATAAAGCACCTTCACTTGATAAAGACACCTTAGCGCTTTCAAACGAGCCAAGGGGTGGTGAAACTCTACTGTCGTCACTTTCTGGTAGAAAGTTGTCCGATTTAGGAATAAAGTGGGTATAATTAATGTATTATGGAAATACGCTCATATATACAGACACGGTGACCTCTTATTCGCGTCCTCAGCAAAGAAGGACGAAGAAACAGTGGAACAGTCACAACCTCAAATACAACAGACGTCAAACATCCCAGCTAGACCTTGGCAACTTGCAAGGGATCATGCAATTGACCAATACTGGAGTAAGCAATCAGGCAGAATACCTAGACCAACGTCATCATCAAAGGAAGGTAATCTAAACACACTTCCAATTGAGGTAAGTGGCGTGTTTTATGTTTTATTATCCCTTTTTTTGACAAAATACAGCCATACGACAAGGAATACCAGGCTCAAAATAACATCAAACATCTATCATTCCATGCATATTTACGCAAGCTCAAAGATAATAATCCGCCAACATCTTCAGTTGCTCAATTACCACCTTTGGAAGAATTAGATTATAAATATAAGCAGTGGGTACCAAACGCGATCACTTTGCAAGTTCAGGAGTATAGAATGGTAGATCACGTTGAGTTCGCTTCATCTGGCTTAGTTGAAGGCTTACTTAACTTTTGGCGCGCATCTGGATTGCAAAGATTTGGTTTACTTTTAGGTAAATACGCACCTTATGATGCTGTACCAATGGGAATAAAAGCTGTTGTCGAATCAGTTCACGAAATACCTCAAGAGGGTGAGGTAGATGGTCTCACGCTTGGTTTACCATGGGAGGATCAAGAGAGAATCGTCGATTTAGCTAAAAGTGCAGGCTTAGAAGTACTTGGTATGATTTACTCAGATTTATCACAGCCACCAGAAGCACAATCGCCATTATGCAAGCGCCATAAGGATAGTTTCTTCTTATCCTCACTGGAATTGTGTTTCTCTGGACATATGCAAAATGCCCATAAATTGTCAAGCACTCAATCTAAAAGTGGGCAATTTAATTCTAGATTTATTACATGCGTTCTCAGTGGTACAGCTGAAGGTGGTATTGATATCTCTGCTTACCAAATTTCTGATCAGGGGATGGCATTAGTTGATGCAGATATTATAGAACCTTCTGTTGAGCCATCAACGCTTAGATTGAAGGAATCAAAACCAGGTAAATACATACCAGATGTTTTCTATCGTTTTAAAAATGAGTACAATATTGAGGTAAAGAAAAATGCTAGACCTTGCTTCCCTGTGGAATACCTACTCGTTAATGTTACACATGGTTTCCCAAATCAGTCAAATCCTACTTTCAAGAGAAATAACTTCCCAATTGAGAATAGACAAGGGTACCAAGATCAATCAGTTAATAAAATGGTAGGATTATTCCTACCAGTCGTCTCTGATAGTAAAGGGTTGGGCTTTGACAATTCAGAAGATCTTGATTTAGGTGCTACAAGTATAGAAAAGAAAGAAACACTATATGACACCCTAAATGACTGGCATTTATGCGCTTTCTTGGAACCATCTGGAATGTTCAGCAGGGATGAAGCAAAGTTGGCTTTGAGAATTGGTATTAACAGAGAAGAAAAAGATTTGAATAACTTTATTAGAAGTCCAAGTTGGTTGAATCTTATGGCAATTGCTCGTGAACAAGCCAGCGCTCAAGCAGCTAGTTCGAATGCACAATTTGATGCTGAGGACATACCACATGATGTACTCGCAGCCTCAGAGCAGACAGCCAGGCAAGAGAGAGAACAAAGGGAGCAGGAGCAACGTGATGTTGATGTCTCACCTGAAGATAGAGAGGCTATTGAAAATGTGAGTATATATGCTATTAATGATACGATTACTAATCTAATTAGCTTTGTGCATTTGGTGGATTTGACTTTGAACAAGCCAAACAGTGCTATCTTGCATGTGAGAAGAACACAGAGATGGCAGCCAACTTATTATTTGAAAGTATGTAAACTAAGTTATGATATGTTGCATTGAGATGGTCAAGTGTGTTCTTTTAACTCTTTATAAATTTGGGAAATGGATCTCTTCTTCACACATCATATATGCAATACTTTACAATACTCTATATTGATTATATTATTCCTCATCCAGGGACTCTAATATCTCTTCTATTTTGTCAACTGCTTGATTGAGGATCTTGTGTTGATTGGTTAACAATCTTACTAGCATATCTTTAATGGAATCTCTAATGTCAGTCTCTTCTAGCTTGCTTAAATATTCTGCTGTACTATCCGACTTGTCCGCCAATATTTGATAGAGCGATACGTGAATATCAAATTCTAAATCTGGATTGTTTGATGGCTTATTTTCTAACTCTTCGAGAGAACTAGAGCCTTCATCGGTTAAATTGTCGTCAGCGAGTAACCTCATTAGGAACTTCAACCCAAGAGGCAAACCTTCGTTGAGGTTTATGTTGAACGTCTTAAGAGTACAATCTTCATTCAGCAGACCATGCTTCTTAAGTATGTCCTTCTTAGATTCTGAGAGAGATACGCCTGCACCAATCCTAAAAGGGACTACATCATAATTTATATTATCAACCGCGAATCCATAAGCAAGGAGTAACTCATTTGTTGGCTTCCCTCCATAATTGTTAAACACTTCATTATCTTTCTGCGCACCTTGAGGTAATTTCATACCAATGTTATCTGTGCCTGTGTACTTCACGTCTGTCCATACGATAGCTGATTGTGACTTATGATTTCCTATATCCCAAAGTGGCACCAACATCGGTGAGCTTATTTCATCATCCTGGATCAACTTAGAAGGGAATGCACGCGAAGAAATCATTGTCAATGAGTGTTTGAATACGTCCCTAGGTAGTCTGTTAGATTATCAAACCCTATGTAATATGTACGTAACCACCCACCAGGTAAAAACTTCCACATCGTTGGCCCTTGACCACTTCTTAACAACCTCGTAGTCAGATTTCCATTGTATCTCTCTCTCCTTGGTTGCATTGAACAAACTCGTCGGTTTTGTATATTCTAATTCATCATCCGTCCAGTAGAGCGTTGTGAGTGTTTGTCCAATTTCTGGTAATATATCGACGTAACGACGATGATGTAGTTTACTAAGGTATCTTGTGAGACAAACTCCGAAGAAAATACCGTTCCTCACCTTTTCAAGCTCTCTGGCAATTGATCGTAAATGTAATGTAAGGAAATGTATACCGCTATGAGAAGCTTCTCCGGTAGACCTTCGTTATTGAGGTTCTTGAACGCTTCCTTACATGTAGATTCTGTTATACATATATTCTTATTTACTGATACTATCTCTGCATCTTCTGGGATATCATTTCTAGCTAACCACTTGTAACCACCCTCTGGAGCTTTATTAGAGGGTGAGATTCAACCAAGTATAATAAAATAATATACTGACAGTATATTATATCTAAATTTGGGTGTATATCGCATTTGTTCTCTTTTAACCAGCTTTTGAAGCTATCAATCGTCGATGTACGTGACATAGAATGATATAATAAAATCTATGGTCTATAAATGTATAAAAATGCGTACAAATAGTTTAATTCTCAAGTGCCTTTGGATCCGGAATGCCTTTGGTTTCAAAAACAGTCTTTCTCAATCTTCTGAATGCTTCCTCTGCATCTTCTATAGATGCCATAGAGTAACTTAGTCTCGTGTATGGTGTTTGACGTGGTGTTGGATAAAATACATTGCCTGGTAAAGCAATGACACCATTCTTTATTGCCCTCTCTTGTATAAGCTCATTGCTATCCTCAACATCTAGCTTTAGCCATAAGAACATACCAGCTTTTGGTGTTACCCAAGTAGCGATATCGCCCATGTACTTTTCAGCTGCTTTCTCAAAAGCATCACGTTTGGTGCGGTAAAAGCCAGCAACTCTTGTTACATGATCAAGGAGACCTTCAATGCCCCAGTGATTGAACAATTGTTGTACAATAGCTTGTGATGTACTATTTGGTTGAAGATTTGCAGATGAAGTGTGTAAATCCATAGCTTGAATTAATCTCTTAGGTCCAGTTGCCCAACCGATTCTCAAACCAGATGATAAAACCTTACTCATTGAATCCAAACGAAGTACTCTTCCTCTTTCTCCGCCTAATTCTTTCTCTAATGCAAAGTATGAAGGCACGCGTCCACCGTCGAATGTAAGGAAGTAGTATGGATCATCTTCCAATATCAAGAAGTCATGCTTTCTTGCCAAGTTGAGAATGTCAATTTTTCTCTGCTTACCAGCAGATGCACCGGATGGGTTGTTACCCGTTGGAACGGTATAAACTAACTTTGGACGTGGCTTATCTTCTGGCCAATTCTCCATAACATCTGAAAGCTTCTCAGCTGACATACCTTGGCCATCACAATCGATTTCAACGAATTGTGCACCTGCGATAGTCATTTCAGGGATAGCACCGGTGTATACAGGTGATTCTATGAGCACATAGTCACCTTGTTCTATTAATGCAGCACAGGCCTTAGTGAAAGCGTCTTGTGAACCGTTTGTAATAGTGATGCCAAAGTCATCCTCTCCACTGATTGGTTCACGTCCGTGTACATGATGTTGTAACTCAGTAACAAATTTATGAAGTCTAGGTAAACCAGCTGTTGCGGTATATTGAAGAGCTTCAGCTAAATCTGGACCTGCATTAAGCTCAAGCTTTGGGTGAGGTGCGCCGGGCGATACTGGTTTGAGTGTAACAGTAATATTTTCAAAAGGAAAAGTTTCTGGACTGTATATATATAGTTAGGGAGTGTTTGGAGAATTTCGGAGTTTCTACTCACTTTGGTTTACCAGCCAACAAAGAAATAATACCCGGATTATTCTCTAATGGGAATAAAGTTCTAATAACTGAAGGGTGTCTAGATTTTGCTTGGGCTGTGAGCCATTTCTCGTAGTGTCTCGAGTCTAACTGAGTCATCTTGATAGTACGTGATAAAGGAGAAGACAGCAAGATAACGAAATAAAAGAAAATAAAAAATGTATTAATTAGACAGTATTTTCTTCATCATCAGATTCCTCATCTGGCTGGTCACCGCCGGTATTTTGTCCAAGCTGCTGCATCATCTGTTGTATTTTAGTTAGATAATCAGCTGATATTAACAAAATAAACTTACAGCTTGTAAATCCATTTGGTTACCACCCATTCCACCCATACCTCCCATTCCGCTCATATCTAATCCCTCCATTGGGTTTCCCTCCTCAACTGCATCCTCTTGTTCATCTTCGTCAACCCATTTTGACCAATCGACTGTGACGTAAGGCAACTTAGTCTTCTCTTTTTGCAGACGTGGCCAGTATTCAGCTTTTGGTGTAGATTTCAACAAAGTAAGGGAAAGACCTTTACCCGTTTGGTTTACTTTGACTGGTTTGTCTTGTACTTTATCAAATAATTCAATATCGAAACCGTATTTTTCTCCATTAGATTTAGCTTCAAATTCAAGCTTTTCTGAGCTCAAATTGAGCTTTGGTGTACCTTCAATATCACTAAGGTTGATAGTAATGAAGAGTAAGTTCCTTTGGATGGCTTATTAGAATTTCCTTTAAAGAACATTCTGTTACTCACTTTTCAGCTTCTGTTTCTGAACTTCTTTGAGCCCAGCGGAGTTGTGGGTGTTGCATTGTAGACGTAAGAATTCAAGGAATATTACAGAAGCTTTTAGTATTTTATTGAATATTTTTACTAGTAAACGTAATTTTTATTGGTTTATATACTCTATTATAAAGTAAATATTAAGAATACATTGCTTATAACTCTCAAAACACTTGCGTCACTGGGAGTACATCATAGGTTGGTTTAATAAACTACTGATAGTAAGCTGTATCGATAGAATAATAGAAGGTACCGCTATTGTATCGTTACTAAAGAAGAGTAACACCTGTTGGTGTTCTATTATTTTGCTTATCACTTACCATCATAACCCATTGATATCACTCTATCATTTTGGATCCAAAATGCGTGAAAGTACAATCACTATTTTACGTTCACGTCTTATATCAAGTCATTTGTGTCCTTAAACTTTCATATATCACTCCATTTCGTCACAAGAAATCTAAAACAGCAATGTAAAGACTAAGCTTTCAAGCTTTCACAAAACAAGCTGTAACTAGTTATAATTATTGGTTTACCCTTTTAACATCGGCATTTGTCTTGTAAGGCGGCATCGCCATCAAAATACTTGATTTATTCCAGTAATTGGTAGCTCATTCGAGAACTGGATACTTGACCGCGCTTTATCCTAACGCTCCCCTTTCCTGTTCTTCCCATTTGCCGTGGCATGCTTGCGCCACTGCACATACCTGATAAATTTTTTTCTTCAATGAGTTGTAACCTGTGTGCTGCTCCACTATACATCGAAATATAACCAACTGAAACGCTGTATTCTATGCTTTTTCTGTTATATTACAATTTGTTCTGTATGTTCTGAAAGACCGGTAGTAGTTTTCTGGGCGATCAAGGGAGAAGACTTGTTTCAGTGAATAGTTCGAAATTGATAATCCAGATACACAAGAATGTTATTTTATCTCAATATCTGAGTGTGCTATCGACAATCACACTATTAGTACTTTTTCTCTCGCCGAGACAATCTATCTCTAACTTTCTTGAAAGTTGTTGGATTTCTTTTTTGACGATTATATACAATAAAGTTGTATTAAATTATTTAAAGTCACTTAGATCGACCAGCAATACCGACCGTCTTTTGTTAACTCTCTATGACATTGGGTAATATTAGATAAAGTGCTAGGTTAATTTTTTTTGTTTTAGTTTGTCACTCACCAGCCTTAATGGCATTTTAGTCTTGTGATATTCTATCAAGACATCATAATCCGTGTTCTCAGAGACAGTCCTGTCCATCAGTAATCGCCGAATTGACATAGGACTATACAAAAGTATTTCAGTCGAACCTCACCAGCATATAACAAATGTCATCTGTAGTCGGACTTACATTCCATATATAAGTCGAAGGTCTATTACATATATTATGACATAACCTATAATTCTATGTACAATTTAGAATTTGGACTTAGAAAATGCCCAGTAAAAATCTGAAAAGAAATACTCTTTGGCCACAGTAATTTATCATATAGATTATATTTATGTAGGTCATTGATAACAAGTCTCTCATACAAACTACTCTATTCTGAGGACGAACAAATGCCAAAATAAATAAGCTAAGACACGACAAGTCATCAACTATTCCGGCATGAGTCGCTGTTATATCCAATATCCAAAGATATATATCATAGTATATGTGACAGTTAAGCATATGCCCATACCATTTATAAGTTTAAACTTACTGGACCTTTAATGGTCTATTTCAAGGATTTACCCTTCCTTAGGTCTCTTGCGTTATCAATGACAATGTTGCTTACTCAATGACGACACTCTATCTCTTCAACAGCACTTTCTGATTAATAGGACTATGCTTTCGAATAAGTGTTTAGCAAAGACTAACGCAAGTTCAGATAAATTTGTTTATCATCTCTTTATTATTTAACTTATTACAATATATGTTTAGATCTTGTTCATCTTATTTCTAATTGTTTCGTCTAGAATCTTCATGTTTAACTTACCGACAATAAAATCCCTTAAAGTTTATATTTTTGATGGATATATTTTGTTATTTTTTATTTTACTTGACGGCCATTAATCTTAATATTCTCATTCAATAAATTTTTCTATGTCGTAATAAACTATAGTTTTCTATTTCCTCGCATTAATTGAAAAGATATAGTAAAGAGCCAATTGGCTTCATCATTGAGATAGTGATTATACAGTGGTACTATTATCGGAGTGTCTTCCAGATTCAAATTTTGTGTAGTTATAAACAATTCTGTCAATGAAACTCATAATAGCAAACCAAGCAGATAATCCAGGCCATAATTTGCCACCAACTTCATCAGCCTTCAACACCACGAGGACTATTATGAAATAAACCCATACTACACTTAAGAGTAAAAGTGCAATAAAAACTCGTTTATATAAGGGATGCATCATAGCTATTGTAGCATATTAGCTTTGAGGTGGAGCTCAAAAGCGCGAGATGCCTTTCTACTAGAGTTTTTATATTTTATACTTCACTTATATGACATGAACAATTTCATGAAAACTAACGAGACTGATGTTTTAAATGTATTTTGAACTATAATGTGCTAAACGTAACCGTCCTTTTTAGAGTCATTAACAGGCGTCCTCGTCCGCCGGTCCTTTTCGTATGCCGACCAAAGACACTGATGGCCAGAAATGACAGAATACGATGAACACATATCTTCTTAAAGCGCTCATGATCATCAATACACTTGGCCTCGACTTACTAGTCGGTGTCTTTTCTTCTGCAATAAAGCATGTCGAGATCTTGAACAGATTCAATGACAGTGAAGTTATAACGTACTGTTTTGACGATATCGTGTTAAAATGTGTTCATCAAATCTCTTATAATATAAACATCCAAGTAGGATAATGTATTATCTAAAAGACATTCATGAAAAAGGTCGTAAGACATTTTGACAAAGTCACGTCCATTAGTTTACATATTATTATGCTGTATCACCATAAAACAGAGCACTTGTAGCCAATCTGTTTTGAAAATATCTAGAGGATTCTCAAAGCTTGTGCTTTCCTGGAGAGTGATATTTTAGCCAAATGATAATGATAATAATGATAATGAAATCTAAATATATTGTTAAGACGATACAAAGTTAAACTGCGTCCATCAATACTTCTTAAAGCATGAGGATTTGAATGGTATGTTGAATTGGTAGGAAGCGTTTCTTGACTAGTGTCGTAAAATGTCTTGATGATTTGCGTGTCCGGGAATTTTCTCGGTTACGCCGGACCACCGGAGTATCTTGGGTACGTAGTCAATTGTGGTTTGAAAAACTCGTAAAGGGCTTGAAGAGCTTGTGCGTTCCTGAGCATTGGACCTAATTCGAACCGAACGTTGATCTTGGTTATCTTTCTTCGCAAGGTGATTCTTGCCATAATGTGTCTTCTACATATAAATACTCTGTGCGATATGCTATCATCTATGCCGCACGTCCTACATTTAGGTGAGTCGATTAGTTTGAATCGGTATCGGTATGACTTAGTCGTAGGGAAGTGACCTGTACGTAGCTGGGTTGCTAGGCACCGTGTCGCTCTGGGT